TTTGTCCTTTTTTCCCCCTGTGGCAAGTTTCAAGCTGTATTTTATGGTTCAGAGATTTGTCACCTGTTGGAACTCAAGCAGTTGGATAAACAGTTGCACCTAGGGGCGTGGCAGTGAGCCACCCTGTGGATATATTGAGCTGTATCAGTTGTCAGGCTGGCATATTAGAACCCAGCAGGGCCGTCCTTACCTATACACAAACTATGCAGCTGCGTAGGGCACCAGGAAATTTGGAGGCACCAAATTGCCCCAAATTTCCTGGTGCCCTATGCAGCTGCCAGCAACCCTGATCCCCTGGCCAGCTGAACCGGCCAGAAAAGCTGCCCCAGCTCCGCCTCTTCCCCATGGCCCCTGCTCTGCCCCAACCCCGCCCCCACTCCAGCCCTTCCTCAAAGCCTCTGCCCCACCTCTTCCCGCCCCTGCTCCACCCCAGCCCCGCCCCACTCCACCCCTTCCCCTGAGCAACGTCCTGGGGGACTGCAGCAGGAGTCGGGCACGCCCTGCACTCACCGTGCGGCAGGAAGTGGAGCGACCCAACCCGCTCCGCCGGCTCGTGCTGGGGAGTGGTTGCCCCCCTGCCCCCCAAGCCTGCTCCTGATCTCCGCCCTCCCCCTGCAGAGGCCTGGTGCTTTCCCTCTGCCCCCCATGGGGGGGCTGTGTAGGGCACCAAAATGACTAGGGATAACCCTGGAACCCAGTTACACAAAACATGGTTCTAGTGTGGATGGGACTCATTTTAAGCTAAATATTCACATTTTTGATAAACTGGAAAATCTTGCGCTGTACTGTACTGTAAGCATTGTCCCTTGTACTTGGTGGTACATTAGACTCGAACTGTGGTAAGATCTCCCAATTTATGTAGCAGTGTGTATGAAACAAATGAGGTGTATTAATAGAGCTGTCAGAGTACCGTAAGTTTGCTCAATACCTATCTGCCCTTTTTTACTTGCATCATTTTAATTATCACCACTTTAAGCAGCCTCCTCCAAATACCCAATTTTAATGGCAGTGGACCTAACTCTGGTAAATGATGTAGAAGAAGCTCCACATCCTGTGGTACTAGATGACTTGAGAAAATGGCAAAGAATTTTAAGCCCCTGCCTCTTAGCTTGATTATAGAACAATAGTGGAACAGCTGTTCATTTGCTGATGTGAAATATGTTGATGGTCTAACTCCTAGTGGCCAGGTGTCCACATAACAATGTGTAATATTTGTTGGTAGTCTTAGCATGAATAATTCAATTTTGTATTAAAATATAGAGAATTATACTTCTAACAGTAACAAGTTAACCATTAAGAATACTGACAGTATGAATTTCTGATTTGACTGTTAAAAATATCAGACACTAAAAGTAGACCAAGCAAATTTACACAAGGGACATGGATGCCCATTAGAATTATAAACCTGTGAATTAACAAATGAAGAAAAGAATGCTTACCATATTTTATTTAGATTTTATAGTTCAGAATATTCTAGTAGTGCAGTATATTTTATAAAAATAGAAGTCGTAGTAATATTAAATCTTACTCTAGCATCTGCCATTAACTATTTGAGATGGAGAGAGCGCCTTTTTTTATACAACGTATACAGTATGTCGATTAGCAAGGTTCCAGTGAAACTGTTCCCTCAAGAAGAAAATATAATACCACGTGAAAAAAGCTCTACATTAATTTAATTTTCCTCTTGTCAAAGGTGCTCAATAGTATAGTATCTCATTCCAACTGTGAGGATGCCTTGCCTGATGCCAATAGCATCACACTTGGAAATTAGTCACAGCAGGGATTGAGAGAGAGAGAGTTTATACCCTCCATCCATGGACTAAAAAGCATCAACTCCATAATTCACTTTGCACTGTCTGTGACTCCACAATGCTGAGTCTTACCTCATCTGCACCTCTGCATATTATTGCTGTGTTGTTTGATGGATAAAACAGAACTACTTATGTTATTGGCAGGCCACTTAATAAAAATATATTTTAAAACCATTTCCTTTTGCATTTCAATATCAAAACAAGCAGCTATATTTGTCTTCCTTTTTTGGTTGGGGGAGAGAAGGTTAAAAAGTTTGTCCTGTTTCAGCCCTAATAATGAGTCAGATTTAATATTTAGATTCTTGTAAGCACTTGTAATAAGCACTGAAATCATATTTTATGGACCGAAATCCCCCCTCTTCCCCCCCAAGTCATGAAGGAAGAAGTATGCACCTCAGCATCTGTTACATACAAGTTAGTTTGAAGGCTTCACCCCCTCCCCCCCCCCCGAAGAAGAGGTTATAAGGGAATAGTGACCAAATACCAAATGTAGCAGAAAGACCATTTTACTAGAGCTGGGCAAAAAATGCCAATTTTTCACAGGAAATTTTGTGATTATATGAATTGAATGGTATTTGCGCATTGGATATTAGCAACAATTAATTTTTAAACTATTACTAATAAGAATTAAACAATTAATTTTGCTGTACAGTTAAAATCAGATTGATTAAAAAGGCCTGCTCCCAAGAGGAGAGAATTAATTTTCATTGTTTAGGCATCAGGTATTATGGATTGGGGATCCCCCCACCTTTGTATTTGTCCAAGTCACAGGTTTACTGGGAAGAATATGAACTTTGGTATGAATAGCTTTTGCACTTACTCCTGAAAACCAAGATGAAGGTTTAAGATCTTTTTAAGAATGCACTAGACTTTTGGATTCTCTCAGGGAATGAACACTCAACACAGCATTAACAGATAAGTAATTAATTTTTAACTACCATATATTTTATGATGTTTAGCAAATATTAGATATAAACTTTATATTGTGATTTACAATGTCTCTTGTCTTTTTCTAGATACAAAAGTTCCAGTTCAGGATAGGTAAGCACTCTTCTCTTTTCTCAATAGCAGTACCAGTTTCACAGAACATAACTTTGCTTAGTTGAAGCTCGTCTCACCCTCCCTCCCCCACAGTCTCTCCAAAGTTTACCATACTTCTTCATGCAAATAATTAGTAAATATTTTTCACTGCAATTAGAATATGCACCTATATTATATTTACTCAATTTATGAATTCAAATTTCTCAGCACGTTATGTTCCTTTATAATACTTCCCTCTCATGTCTCAGAAATGTTTTATGTTTCTGTTGCCAGATTGATTTCTGTTATAGATACCAGGAATGAATTTTGTCCTAATCTATAACGGGTTCAGAACAGTCTTTTAATGCATGGGTATATTATACCTAAAAGTCCACTGTTTTTTAATGCAACTTTCTCCTTTAATTTGCAGCCTTCCGGTCTGATGTTTTCTTACCACTTCATGCCTCATCCTTTAAGAGTGGCCTATCCGGATCCTCTGGTTCCTGTTTCTGCCTGTGTCGAGATTTTCTTTGGTTCTGTTTCCCCACATTCCCAGAGATCTCTTCTGCATCTTTTAGGCTTTGACTACTTATATTTTGCTCTTCACTTGTTTTCCCAAGTTTTATTGTGGTTCCATCAATGGTCTCCCATGTAGCACTGACAGTTCTGATGTTCCTGTGTGGTCCTTGCTAGTGAAAAATTTTCCTTCATGGAAGCTTCCCTGGAGTACGAGTCGCACTTCTTAAATTGTTTTCCCGGACCTAACTATCCCTATTTAAATTTTTATTCTGGTTCTTTACAGTATACGCTTTAAATAGACATTTAGGGAGAAAATGAAGGATACATGTTTAACTGTTCTATAAAAATTAGATGGGCACAGAGTGCTTTCTAAGACGACAGAGTGGGGAAAAATAGCAAATATATTGCTACAAAAAGGACTTATCTTAAGGAGGACACTCAGTATTTGTGAGATGTTTGATCCACCCCTTCCTCCTATTATTGACATGCAGTCACATTCCCAAGCCACTTGTAGGATTTCTTTTTCATGAAGAATTTTTTTGTGGCCTATGAGTGATCTTAAGTAGCCATTCTCTGCCAGAGTGCTGAACTGGTTGACCCTTCCCAACCTACAGTATTAAAGAACACTAAGTAGACTAACTTTAAATGTATTCCATTTTCTGATAGAGAGCTCTTTAAAAACGCTGTCCTGAAATTATTTTTAAAAATCCCTTAAGTTTTTGTATAGGGTTTTTTTGTTTGTTTGTTACCTAGTTTGTTTATTAAAGCTCTTTACAGTTATTTGGTTTCTCTCCTGCTAACTGACTACTGAAAAACACTGCACACAAGAGTGCTCAAATGCATGAAGTATACAAACTGGAAAAAAAAAAAAAACTTTTGATTTAGTAATCTTTGGTGTTCTTGTTACAGTAGTTACATAATTTGTAAATATTTTTAAGTTGAACATTTCTAACATTGTTATAGCAGTAAGAATTAAAAAAAATTAAATAAGTTTTGTATTCCAGTCTCACTCTGGTGTTACATAAGTAATAATACTTTGATGTGTTTAAATCCCAGTATTTTAAGACATTTCCAAACGTCTAGGGAAGAGAATAACAGTTTGTGTGCTTTATTTCGCCTATGAATGGATTTTGGGTGTGGGTGGGGCCTGTTCTGGTACTATCCCATTGTTCAGCAATGTAAGGTTCTCCGTGTTAATACATTATAAGGACATGTATTCCTTTTTGTGAATGTAAAATAAAATTATAAAGCACCTACTGTGTGAAATTTGAATCATTTTAATTTATTTTAATATAACCTGTCAGAAGCACTTACATTTTACATGCTAATTGTGTGACTTAATGCTTAGGATATAGATTTGGTGTTACTAGTCGCTACAGACCTCTTCTTGATTGCTGATATTTTCCTGGAAATAATGTTGCTATCCTTAACTGTTAGAAGTTCTTCTCTGCTGCATGGAAAACTTAACTTTTGTACCTGTTGGTAATGCAGAATTATGTATATAATAGTACACTGACAGTAATCTGTAATTTAAAAAAACCCAACAAAACACACTATACTGTTTATGGCCTCGTATTTGAACTTAAACATTGCTAAAATTAGCTTTTGCTAAGCTTACTTTATCACTAATAAAACTTCTTTGTATTTCAGGGAAATGAGGCAAGCTATCCTTTGGAAATGTGCTCGCACTGTAAGTCGATTATTTTTTTAAGTTATATTGTTGCAGCTAGAGGTGTGTGTGTGTGTGTGTGTGTGAGAGAGAGAGAGAGAGAGAGAGTGTCTGACTGAAGTATAGTTGTGTCAGTCCAGGGATATTAGAGAGACAAGGGGGTGGGGTAATAATCTTTTATGCTCCTTTTCTCACCAACAGAATTTGGTACAATAAAAAATATTACCTCACCCACCTTGACTGACTGCCTTTTCCCTTGTGTGGAAGGCTTGATAAAACCTTTCCTTCTGATTCTTTGTCATTCGCTAATATTTTGTCTTAATCAGGGCGGGGACTCTGTGCTTGTACAATGCCTATCGTAATAGAACTCCAATCGTGACCATAATATACATGTTAACTAATAATAATTTGGCTGGTCAAGATAACCAAGCATAGAGAAATTATTTTCCAATTATATTTCACACTAAGTGAAAAGTGACTTTAAAAAAAGGCCTCTATGCTAGTGTCTTTAACATGTTACAAGAAATTATTCTTCTTCAAGTGTTAGTATACATGTTTCCACTCAGGGGTGTGTGTGTGTGTGTGTGTGTGTGTGTGTGTGTGTGTGTGTGTGTGTG